GACGGACCGCTCCAGGAGGTTCTTGGCTGAGTTGCAGGACCTCCACTTAGGTCAGGAGGTGCACAGTCCCACCAGAGGAGATGCTCTGCTGGACCTGGTCCTGGCCGCAGGCGACGACCTGGTAAGAGGCCTCCAGGTTCTTGACCACCTGGGCAATAGTGATCATCGCGTGCTGGAATTCACCATCCAGCGTAGAGTGTCAAGGGCCCGCAGCAAGGTGGTAGCCCTAGACTTGAGGAGGGCCAACTTCAGTGAGATGAGGAGATTAGTGGGAGAGGAACTGGGGTCCTTGAGGGCAGAGGAACTCAGCGTCCAAGAGGAGTGGTCGTTCCTTAAGGAAACGATACTCGGGGCCCAAGGGGTGTCCATCCCGACAAGAAGCAAGGCGGGCAGGAGTGTCCAAAAGCCCCCCTGGCTCACCAAGGGTGTCCGGGAATGCCTGCTTGCCAAAAGGGTGGCGTACGCCCGGTGGAAGGGGGGTGTAATCTCCAAAGAGGAGTATACCTCCTCTGCTCGGGCCTGCAGGCGGGCTGTTAGGAAGGCCAAGGCGGAGATAGAGCTCGGATTAGCGTCCAGGATTAAGGATAACAAAAAGTCCTTTTTCAAATATATTGGGAGGATGAAGAAGGCGCCGGGTAATGTGGGGCCCCTGCAGGATATGCGGGGCAATCTGGTGGTTGCGTCAGAGGATAAAGCGGACCTCTTTAACCAATTCTTCACCTCCGTTTTCTTGTGCAGGGACCGGGACTTCCCTGCTGTGATAGAAGCCGGACGCGAGGGGATCGCCTTCAGACCTCAGGTTGGGGAGGACCGGGTTAGAGAGCTTCTGGAGGGGCTGGACGCGTTCAAGTCAGCGGGTCCGGATGCTCTCCACCCCAGGGTGCTGAGGGAGCTGGCTGGGGTTATTGCAGGGCCCCTGGCACGGCTCTACGAGCGATCGTGGTGCTTGGGCCAGGTGCCAGACGATTGGAAGGTAGCTAATGTGGTCCCCATCTTCAAAAAAGGGAAAAGGGAGGACCCGGGCAATTATAGGCCCGTCAGTCTTACCTCAATCCTGGGGAAGCTCTTTGAGAAGATCATCAAGGAGCACATTTGTGATGGGCCGGCATCCGAGATGATGCTCAGGGGCAATCAGCATGGATTTATTAGGGGGAGATCATGTCAGACCAACCTGATTGCCTTTTATGATCAGGTCACAAAGGCCATGGACGCAGGTGTCGCGGTGGATGTAGTCTTTCTGGACTTCAGCAAGGCCTTTGACACCGTCTCTCACCCCATCCTAATTAATAAACTAGGCGACTGTGGCATAGATGCCTACACAGTCAGATGGATTGCAGATTGGCTGAAGGGTCGCACTCAGAGGGTGGTGGTGGATGGATCATACTCGACTTGGGGGGAGGTGGGTAGTGGAGTCCCCCAGGGCTCGGTCCTGGGGCCTGCGCTGTTCAATTTCTTCATCAGCGATCTTGATGTTGGGGTGGAAAGCAACCTGTTTAAATTCGCTGATGACACCAAAATTTGGGGGGAGGTGAGCACGCTAGCAGGGAGAGAGAGATTGCAGAAGGATCTGGATAGGTTACAGGGGTGGGCAAACAGGAACAGGATGTGTTTCAATACGGACAAGTGCAGGGTGCTGCACTTGGGTAGTAGGAACCAGCAGCACACTTATACGATGGGGAGCTCCCTACTTGAGAGCACGGAGGTGGAAAGGGATCTTGGTGTCATTATTGACTCCAAGATGAACATGGGCCGACAATGCGAGGTCATGGTTGGCAGGGCTAACCGGACCTTGTCGTGCATCCACAGGTGCATCTCGAGTAGAGCCAGGGAGGTGATCCTCCCCCTCTATGCGACGCTGGTCAGGCCGCAGCTGGAGTATTGTGTCCAGTTCTGTGCGCCCCATTTCAGGAGGGATGTGGACAACATGGAGAGGGTCCAGAGGAGGGCCACCCGCATGATCCGGGGACAACAGGGCAGACCCTACAGTGAGAGACTGCGGGACCTGAACCTATTCAGCCTCCACAAGAGAAGGCTGAGGGGGGACCTGGTGACCGTCTATAAACTCACTAGGGGGAACCAGAAGGGTTTGGGGGAGACGCTGTTTCCCCTAGCCCCCGCTGGCATAACAAGGAGTAATGGGCACAAGTTGATGGAGAGGAGGTACAGATTGGACATCCGAAAAAACTACTTCACAGTTAGGGCGGCTAGGAGCTGGAACCAACTTCCAAGGGAGGTGGTGCTGGCCCCTACCCTGGGGATCTTTAAGAAGAGGCTGGATACTTACCTGGCTGGACTCATTTGAGTCCCGTTTTTGTTTTTAGGGGGTTTTTTGTTGTTCTCCCGCCCTGGCGGGGGGTCGGTCTAGAAGATCTATTAGGTCCCTTCCGACCCTAAAACTATGAAACTATCTCAGAATGGGAGCAGGGGAAGAGAGCGGAGGAAGCTCTTTCAGGGGGTTGCCCAGTTGGTGCTGGAGAGTGGGGAGGGTGGACTGGAGGTGGGGGGGGCGCCAATCCACCTACCCCCCAACTCCAGCACCAGCTGGGGAAACCCCAGAAAGGACCTCCCTCCCCTGCCTTCTTCCCCTTCCATCCTGAGACAGTACCAGAGGCTTGGAAAGGGGGACAGAGCTAAAGGAGGAGGCTGCAGAGATGCAGCCTCTCTTCCTAGATCAGGTCCAAATTGGAGCTCAATCCCCCATCCTTCTGACCCAAGAGCTAACATCTGTTGGGGCAGAAGAATCAGTCTAACTCATGGCACTTTCTGTGAAGTGCCATGACTTATACAGGGGAGCTGCACATCTGCTTGTGCCTAAAGTGTTGGCTATACTGGCACTGCAATACCTAGAGATCTCTCTTACAGCAACTCTCCATTCCCTCTGTGTCACTAAAGTGGTCCAAAGAGGCTGGAGCCAAGGTCCAAAATCTGGCCCCATATTTTCAGTGTTATAATAAGTGTTCTTAAAACTTATGCAATGCCTGTAAAATGGAAGCAAATTCAATTCAGCACTGAAAATGCCTTTCATGAGCTGTGTCTGGGAATTTTTAAGTGGCAGTATTGGAATCAGCTGTTGCTTTCTCCTGCCTTACTGCACTGCCTCCAGTCCCTTTATCCTGCAACCACAAGAGTGGCTCCAGGGTTAGTTGAATGTGTCTGAGCAGCTGCTTCTTTCACCTTGTCTTCACTGGCCACTTATGGCATGCTAAGGAGGGATATAAAAGTGGTTCTGGATATTTATAGTTCTCTGCTTGCCAACCAGGCAGATGGAACCCCAGTCCCCCTCCCCAAGAGAAGATGACCGAGGCTCAGTTGGTTCTGCCTGAGCTGAGGGGAGTGCTTCCATTTCCCCACACAGCCAGGCAGGCATACTGGGATAGGAGAAAAAAAGAAGCAGCAGAACTGAAACTGATTCTACTGGTGCAGCTCACACTAGCCTGTGAGTGTCTCCAGGTTGTCATTTGGCAACGTTCCCCTAAGGACCGTGTTCCAAATCAGGGGGGCAGCAAAATACGGCACACTCCAGCCACTTCCTGTTCCGACTGCTCATTCTCTTTTGTGCTGCCGGGCTGCCTTGAGGAGAGCAAAGAATTGATTACTGTCACTTTTATACATCTACCAGGGGACTTACCAGTGGTTTCTTTTCCTTTGCCCAACTTGAGTTGGAGGGACAGAGAATCTGGCTTGAAATACTCATTGCAAACTTTTGGGCTAGGGAA